CCTAGGTATAAAATACTTGAACCCCAGTACCCGTATTTGACTTTTTAGCGCAAATATCCGTCAAAGTATAAGATATATACCTAACTGAAGTTCAGAGATAAATCGGGCTGATACTGCTCCAACTCACAAATATGTACATATTATAAAGTATATGTATACACATATAAAATTGATTAGACTTCGATCCACTGGTTGACGTTCTACATCCTAAGGCATTTCCCAGGCTTTGATTCTTTTAAGTTGCAAGGGTATAAGATGTTCGGTTGATTTGCGAATCTTTTAATTCAACTTTGAATTTTGTTTCTTAATTATTTCTTCTTCATCAACAATAGCAGGGGTAGCAAGTAGAAATGCGGCTTCGAAGTCGCAGCTCTCCAGCCACTTTCTAATATACATATTACTTTGTTCGGCAACATTTACTCATATCGCTCACTCAAGTTGCTGTCATATGTTGCYCGCAACTTGTTGCCATTTCAAAATCTGCTCACTCAATTATAAAGGAAGACTAACAATACTTTCTACACATTCGTTCTTTTCCAATAGCAACATACTCAAACAACAAATCGGGTTTAGCACTTCGTAAAACCGGCTCSCTTCGTGTGTTTTGGTGAGTTCGTCGTCGTATCACTCGTTTGCAATCAATTACGTGCGTGGAGCATTTGACTTTGCTTAGCATTAGCATTTGAGCGAAACAATGGTTAGTTTCATATTGACTGYGGTCAAATATAGTTTAGTATTAGAGCAAAAGTAGGATTACTCGCGTTTCTGTGTGTTGATTATAGTATTGGAGAGCAGTTCATATTTGAAATATTAATGCGTGGATAAATATGTATGTATGATTATATGCAAAAAATTGTGAAAATTAAAAACAAATTTTTTAGTGAACGTGAAGTAAAATAATGTTGATGAATTTCAGTCAGCTAGCAAAGCTAGGTAGCTTGGCTACCGATAAATGTATGGCCAATCCTGAATTAAGTGCTTTATGCACCAAAATTCAAATTGTAAAAAAAATTATAAAACGATGATATTTATTCCACCTACTTCTCGGGCAGTCGCTAAGTGCAACTGCAAGTCCCTCGCGTATTCGTTTCAAGGCTAAACAACAAATAGCAACAATAAAGACAGCAAAACAAGTGCCATAATAATGCCGACACAAAGTCTAAAWTTACGTCGCGGTCTTGCTCGGGTATATTCTTGAGTGTGTGTTGTTGCTGTATGCACCGGAAGTGAAAGCGGGAAAAGGAAATGCAGTGAAAGTRTATTTTTTTCGCTTGCAAAGATAAGTAAATTTGCGCCCAAATGCAAGAAATCAACAAAAAGAACAATGCAAAAAGCACAAGTAACACCAACACAGATCTCATATATATAGTGTTTGCYATAATAGTTCGGTGCTGAAAGTGCAATAAAACGCGAGGCATACAAAAATAACGCAAAGAAGTGSAAATCCTGCAAAAAGATTGCATACAAAATTTTTCTTCGTCCTTTTCTAAAACAAAGCCATAAGAGTTGAGCAGCAAAAAAAGCTGGAAGTGTGTGCAAAGCTGAAAACATAAAAAAATAAATCTGAGTTCTAAAGCAAAAAAATAAAATAGTGGTACCCAGAAAAAWCACAGGTGGCAATGAAAAGCATTATGCGCAAAGTGAAAGTAACGGAAAGTACGCGTTACTATTTTCTCTATATGCCAGTGTAGTAAAGCAGTGCATGGATTACTCAGCATTGTTGCCCATTTGCACATAATCTTGGATATATGTATATTCTTCTTCAATTCTTGGAAATGTAAGTTCAAATGAAAGTGAAAAGCTTATTATAGTCTAAGTTGCATAAATTATGAATACTTCGATAGATGTTAATAACTTTTAGTCTTTTATCGGTAGCTTACTAAAAACTTATAAGCTAAATATAGTTAAAAATCTKTTAAAAATCTTGCTGAATATGCAGCTTCCAGTGGATACTTTCAAATCTTCGGATACTTGCCTCATGCAAGTCGCGCATTTACTTCTATTAATGACAATATATTCCATTAATGCGATGACTACCGCTTACTACATATTGAATTTCTTAATAGTCAAACAAACTTATTATCTTATTACTCTAAAGGGAAATAAAAACGATTACGTAGGCTGTTATATATATTTCTGGCCTAGGCAACACTAAGTGTTGCCAGGTGCAATCTGACCTCTTTCCATTGGAAAGTTTGCCTTTTTTTAGTATAACATCACTCAGAACGTTTTGTCATTTAATCGTGAATTGTTTTATTTACAGGGAATTAAAAAAATTATCTCGGCCAAAAACTGAAATTAACTCGTGAACATTTTCGTGCGATCATTTTTCACAACTTTCGACGTGGATTATCGCTACAAGAGTGCATCAATGAACTAAAATCTTTGTATGGGTATGAAGCACCATCCTATAGCACTGTGAAAAACTGGTACAACGAATTCAATCGTGGCCGACGCTCGCTCAAAGACGAATTCCGTGAAGGTCGTCCAAAAACAGCCGTTGTGCCAGGAAACATCGATGCCGTACGTGAACTGATAATGCAAGACCGTCATGTAACATGCCTTCAGATAGAGGCATGTCTATGCATTTCTCCCACCAGCATACATTCGATATTACATGAATACCTGGCCGTAAAAAAGGTTTGTTCTCATTGGTTCCCGCACAATTTGGCAATCGCTCAAAAAATGCTCGTGTGGATTGGTGTAAAGAAATGCTGAAAAAATACGATCGCGGTGCTCCAAAAGACGTTTATAAGATCGTCACAGGTGAGGAATCATGGATCTATGCATATGAGCCCGAAACAAAACAGCAATCGACCGTGTGGGTCTTCCAAGACGAGCCAAATCCAACGAAADTTGTTCGTGGAAGAAGCACTTCGAAGCAAATGGTCGCCTGTTTCTTCGGCAAAACTGGTCATGTGGCGACTGTTCTGCTTGAGCAACGTAGGACGGTAAATTTTAAGTGTTACACCACCATTTGTTTGCCTGAAGTCTTCGGAGAAATTCGAAAAACGAACCAGAGAAGACGAATCATTGACCAGCGCCTTTTTGACCGGCCAAAACGTCGAATTGATGGGTCATCCGCCRTACAGCCCTGACTTGGGACCCAATGACTTCTTATTCTCACACATCAAGAAAATATTGTGTAGTCAACGATTTTCGTCGCCAGAAGATGCTGTTGAAGCATTCAAAACCATGTTTTGGAGGTGTCTCAATCGGAGTGGAAAAAGTGCTTCGAAAATTGGTTTGAGCGCATACAAAAGTGTATAAATATTGATGGGAATATTTTGAAGAACAATAAAACCTTCCTATTTCCATTATTAGGCCAGAAATATATATAGCAGCCCTCATATTAATTARTATAACTTTTTTGAGAATAATTAAAAAATAGCTTTTTCTTGTGAACTCTTTTTAGCATAAGTCCCTTCGTAATTACTCAGACATAGTATTTATTCGCCGGATTATTCAACAGTATATCTCATTTCTTGTATCCTCGAAATTTAAGATATTAGAGGTCATCCTAAATATTTTCATGAAGTCAGCAAATTTTACTGAATACTTAGCAAGGTTTGTCGAGTTATTAGCAATTTAACTAACCGTTTCTATTTCTGCTTCCTACTGTAACTTGTCCTACTTTTTCCTTAACTTACTTTCATACTAAATTTAAMASTGTTCTATTCGAAASRTMGGCCKAGGAAACATTCRAAATCGACCACGGGTTGGACTAGATGWRGTRGTGGGGCTTATTGTTACTATARGKTGATYCATTTCGAGTTTTCTTTTTTTGCGTTGTGAGCAAAAAGGCCCCGTCTGACGATTACGTTTTCATTTTTGAAGAAATACGGAATGATGATWCCACCCGCTCATAAMC